GCAGCAATGTGTATGTTTTATACTTATTTCTTTAACAAAACCTAACAGCATGTAAAGCAATTCTTGCAATAGAAAACTGAACTATTGCCCTGATCCAACAGTAGCACAACTTTATTTTGTTTGTAATTATATGAAACCATTTTCTTTTGTTTAAAGGTGTGGTCAGATAAAGAGCACAGTGTTGATGAGGCTGCCCTTTAGATGCAACCGATTCTTTTTTAAAGGTAATTACCTCAATGGAAGAAACATAAATTCTTGACAAATTGTCTGATGTTGAAGTTTTATTCTACCTTTGGAGATGAAATATCTCATCAGCCCAGACTTTAATGAGACAACATCTATATGCATTGTTTTACATTAGTGCTAAAAATTTGATTACAAATGCGTTTGCGTCTCTCAGTTGCTTGAGAATTAAAAAAAACCAATAGCATGCGTGCCCTGTGGCACTGCTGCTGTTTCACAATTAAGGCCAACCATGTTATATTTATCTTTTCACCAATTACTGTAAAGGTTACGGAAACTTTACTTGGTTTCTTCTGGGCTTTTCCATCAACAAAGATGCAATGACTTTCCAATCTAATTTTCCTTTGTTGCAATTCTCAGCCAAAAACACAGACATGAAAAGCCCCAACTGTGGATCCCAAAGACACAGAGTAGCTCTTTGTACCCTGACTTGTTCTGCTGCATGCCATTTTTAATCTTGGGCAGAAGGGAAGAGAGCTGCTGCTCTTATCTTAGATGACATGGAGGCTTTGCTCCCTCTCTCTGGGGCTCTCTCGTCTTGCTCTTCTGAAACCTAACCCTCTTTTATGCTCTTCCCTCTTGGTGGTTTGGTGGCGAAGAGATACAGCGAATGAGACTGGCTAACTTTTGTTTAGCTTATTCCATCTGAAGTCTGTTACATGATACAGGGTGTGAAGAGGCCAGGTGTTGCCTTTCTGTGATAAATTGTGTGATTGCTAACTCCTGTTGATACTCTTAGCTCTTCTTTTATTGCCCAGGGCCGGTGGAAGCTCATTCAGCAGGTAAAGAGAAGTTATGATTTGGAAAATAAATTACTGCCTCCTTATTCCACATCTCTGAAATGTTCAAAATCCATGCAGGTCCTGGCAATAAGGGGAGGTTTTACAGTGCTGTGAAAAGATTTTTACACACAGACTGCTTCGGTTTCTGTCACAGAGAAATGTTTCAGATTCTCCAACAGTTATACATGAAAATGGAAAATAGTTTTCTAATAATCTGTTTATTCTTTAAGAGGGCAAAAAAACTCACCCAAAACAAACTGGTCTTATGCTAAAAAATAGCTGCCGCATTATGATGAACAACTTACTGCACAACAAAGAAAATCACTGAAAGAAAACCTGGCTGACTTCATAAAACAGGCTGAAATATTTCAAAACCTGCTATAAATCCCAAAACAGATAAGAAGTAAAGCTTCTTTTCCATTACTAGTGTGTGTAAAACTTTGTCAATATTCCACTAACGTTGAAAAAACAACTTCGCAATTGCTGTTTCCATTAAAGAAGAAAAACTATTAAAATCACACGTAAGTATGTTTGCTTGCAACTTCCTGTTTTCTTCTTCTTCGTGGTTTGCGCCAGTGGCAACATCCTGTTGTTGATCATGTGACTCGTGTGATGCAAAAAGAAGTGTCTCCATTGAAGTTTTCCAAAATAAACCAAAAAAATCACCTCATGCTAGCGACAAAACTTTTTATCAAACGGAGAACGAGTGTTTTTTTTTTTGTTTTTGTTTTTTCAGAATTGGTGAAAAGCAGATTTATTGTCAAAATGTCAAATCGGTCGATGGGAACGCAGCTAGTGACATCATCACTCCAGAATGGATTATATATTTCTAAAGTTTTGAAACTACACAGTGAGCCAATATCCAGTTACATACAGGAGCATGTTTCAAGTCAATAGTGATGAAAAACTACTACAATAGGCAAACGTCTTGTAACAAGTGAAAAACATCTGTCAACTAAAATTTCTATATCAAAAATAAGTTATTTTCTTAAAACAAGCTCCTATATCTTGTAGAAAAGTTACTTGTAAGTCAGTTTAGTCTTACTTGAAGTGTAAAAAGTTATACTTGGTAGGATTTTGTGTTTTTGCAGTGTGCATAGAGTATTATTCTAATGTCACACACAAGAGGAAGTGGATGCGAAAGTCAGGAAATACTTCTTGTAAACCAATCATTACCTCCATGTAGGTCTAACAGGCATGTAATGTGCTTTTCACTCGATTGTCGGGAGTTGCGATAAAATCTTCTTGTAGGTGTCGGAACAAGTTTGGCCTTTATAAACCGACTTAAGAAGAGGCGTATTTGTGTCCCTAAAACATCCCGCCAAACCAAAGTCCAGAAACATGCAGAACACAAGTGTATCCAATCTATTTCTACGCCATATCCAAGCTTTTGTGCCGAGGCCTGAAGGGACTTGTTTTCCAAACGCCTGCAACTATAAAAGACTTAACTGACAGAGGCGCTTCCACGAGTCCAATGGGTTCAATTTGTTCTGCTAATCATTACCAGCTTCTCCGCTGCAGTAATGGGAGGCGTCGTTCAATGAGCTTCAATGCCGCCCTTTCCATGGACGGTCCAGACAAAGAGGGAGACCCCTGCTTTTATTTCTCTCTCTCTTTTTTTTTTTTTTTTAAAGGGGGGGTCCAGTGAAGCATTCACAAACAGATTGGTAACCAGTCAGGTCTTCAAAGACACAAAGGCAACGGGGTGGGCCGCAATGATGGGAGGGTGGGGCGAATGTGAAGAAGAATGACCTGCCAAATGAGAAAGAGGACTTATTGAAAGGGACAGAGTGGGAGAAAGGAAAAACATATTGAACCGATGGAGAAGCTCAACCTTTTGACCATCTGCCTCAGTGGGTGACAACAGCCTTCATCTGTATTTTTAGAGCTGTACAACACACCAAATTACTCTGTCAGAAAGATTAAGGAGAGTCAATGGGCTGTCGAGTGGAAAAACAGGGCAAAGTCATCCCAGTGTGGAAACTTTGCATGTTTGTGTCTGCAGCAACTTTATGGCGTCAAGGAAATAATTCTGAAAAATTAAAAAAACAGAGAAGCCTGAGAAACAAATTGTGGAATAAAAATCTCATTTATGTTTAAACATGGTTGAGTACATCTCCAAAATGATTTCAATTTCATCATCCTTTTCCTCCTGTGGAGAAATTTGCAAAGGACTTGACTCTGAAAACCCTTTTTTTGCTGCATTAATTCCATGATTGCTTTAAAGCAGAAATGCTATTTTCTCCCTCTGAGCTAAACAAGAATCAGATCTCCATGACTAATCTCCCAGTGTGGGTATTGTGTTTTGGTCTGTACCTAATATTTGAGGCTTTTTCTGCAGATTTGGAAAACTAATTATGCTTTTTTCAATACTGAAGTGGCCAAAATTAATGCAGGTAAAAACTGCTCTCAAATTCAGACATGGCTTAAAGGTAGCATATAAGCTTTTCTTCTAGCTTTGGAAAAATCTGAAGAAAAGTCTGATCCAAAAGTAATGTTTACTTTAATGTCGACTCAAGCTACTCAAGTAACATTTAGACGGCTAATAGGTATTCAGGTTAAATGTAACTCCACCAAACACTTGAATTTACTGCTAAAAGCTAACAGTTACACAAGCCAACATGACCTATAAGGGTTATTTAACGTAACAATTATGCAAGCTAACAATTGCTAACGACAAATGTTATTCAAGCTAATTTCCACTCATGCAAGATCAGAAATAGTGAAGTAAATGGCTACTGAAGCTAAATGCAACTCAAACTATTGTTTACACAAGCTAAACCTTACTTAAGCTAACAACTAATCAAGCCAAACTCTAAACCGGCAACAGATGCACAAGATAGTGAGTAGTCAGATTAAAGGCTATTGAAGCTAACTACCACTGCTAACAGATACACAACCCAACAGGCACAAAAGCTAGAAGCTATTCAAGCTAATTTCAACTCGGCTAACAGTTATGCAAAGGTAGAGAAGTTGATGGCTGTTCAAGCTAAATGCAACTCAAACTCAAGTTACCCAAAACGTACTTAAGCTAAAGTAATTAAGTATTCAAACGATTGTCTGCACCAGCTAACTGCTACCTACGCTGTTACACAACCCAACAGGTATAAAACATGAAGATCTTCAAACTAATAAACTCTTAAGCTAACAATAACACAAGTAAACAAACTAAAAGACAATTGATTCTCCGAAAGTTTAGAGAATTTTAATTTCTTACTTGAATAAGCAAAACCGAGAATATAGTTCTTCCTAGAAAATAGATTTCACACTTTCAAAAAACTACATTTGTATGCAACATCAAACCTCCCCTAGAAATAAAGCTCTATGCAGATGATTTGACACAAACTGGCAAGAATTTCCAATCCAAAACCAAATCTCAGTTATCGGTAGAGCTGGACAACATGGCTGAAAAACTTATCACGATACAATCATTTCATATCAGTTGATATCAATAACTGTCGATAATAATCGATTTGTTTTTAGTTTTAAATATCTGGTGGTGTGACCTTTAGCACAGTTTTCACTCCACACTGTTTTTTTTTTTTTATTTTTAAGCAGTTATGCCCCACGGTGGCGAAACTTGAAACTGCTGCTGCGCAAGTTACTCAACAGGTCGTTGCTAGGTAACGAAAGAGTGAGAGAGAAAAGATAAATTTATTATCAGATTTGTTATCTACTGATATTTGTTATTGATTTATTGTCCAGCTAAAAACAAATGGGATAAGAGAAAGAAAAAGTCATAAAGAAATAAAAATGAACTATAATGAAAAACCCAAAACCATCATAACCCTGAGTACCACCGTCTCTCCTCTCTTTCCTCCGTCCCATGCTCGCCTGATTTTCCACCCCTCCCCTCTCGCTGTAATTTCACCCCTGCCCTGCTGTCAATCCCACTCCCCTCCCTCCACTCTCTCCTCCTCTCCTTTTTCCGCTGCTCGTGGTGGGAGATTGGTGGATTACGCCGGAGTCGGGGGGGAGCTCGTGGCGCTGATTGTAAAAGAGAGGGACAATAGGTCCTTTAGTCTGATTGGGTCCCCAGGTTGGCAACACCCGAGATGAGAGTGCACAGGAAGCCGCTATAGAGGCAGCATGAGAATATGCACGTTTATTTATATGTAGATGGAGAAGAGGGGAAACTTTACCGAGGCCAACAAGGCAGAGCACCAACTCAAGGTGACTTTTAGAGATTTCATACCTTTAAGAAAAACTTCAGGCAAAGGAAGAGGAAAGAAAAATTAGCAGAGGATAAATCAAAAAAGCGGTAAGGCACTGACTTATTATTTGAGTTTTGTTTTAATTTTTTTATTTTTCACAGATGCTGATGAATTTGCTTTATTTGATAGTAACTATCTGCAGATAAGTAAGAGGTCTGCATGCACTTTGGAAAGTTTGAGGCTTTAATTCTGAACACGTCTGCACTTTTGCGTCTTCAAACAAGCATCGGTATCTGCCTTTTACGGAGCGTTGTTTGGCATTCAGACCTCATTCCTCAGTCTGAGCCAAGGTTCTACTCTCCCAAAATGAGAACTCTCTTTTTTTCCATTTTACTGTCAAACCCATTAAAGTACAGCCTGTCTTGTAAGGAAGAAAATAAGGTACGAGATTGGCATGTGTACCCCGGCTGGAGCGCGGGGACGCTTCTATGATATTATCATATCAGGGGAAGGGGGTGAAGATGGGCTTCGGGTTGAGATATCTTCACTGACATTTGCAGGGTCTGACAAAGAGCTTTAAGAGGACATGAACCTTTTTCTTTCTAAGGAGATCCAACGTAATGCTGTTTAATTAGTGACAGACTGCAAACTTTTCCAGATGACGCTTATGAACGGTGACATCACTTCCATGCACCAGTGGCTGGGATGAATGCCAGTTAGTGTAATTTAATTTATACACAAATGATGACAGTTTGTTATTTCTGAACTACAGTGGCTCTCTAAACTTTGGACACTCCTCTTTTAAAGAGAGTAATGCAGAAAATAAGACTTTGATAAATCATTTCTAAACTTTTTCGGTCTTTAATATGAATATTTCAACTGCTGGAATCTAGAAACTGCAACTACCTGGTTACATAAATGTCTACACAATAAAACAAAGTGTCAATTTACACCAGTTCTGTTCAGTCCAATGAATCCAACTCCAGTCCGTTAGTCTAGAAAGTTTGGATGCACAATCAGACCAAAAGAAACAAACTGGTTCCCCTAAAAAACCTTTGTCTCGATTGAGTTGAAGTGAACTCTGGTACGGTTCGGATCGTCTGGAGACCGCTCCAAAAGCAGGAAGTGGACTACAGCGCAGGGCATCGTGGGTAAACACAACCAAAATAAATGTGCTAGTGCTAACAAGAGGAATAGCTACAACCGCTAAAATATGAATCAACTCAATTTTTATTTACATTTTGTAAAACCATAAGTTGTGCTCAGTCTTCTTCAGCATCGTTTCCTTCAGTGGTTCTTAGTGCAGCGCCCCCACAGGTGAGGAGAGGAACAGGTTTTTGAATTAGTTTGGCTAATTTGGCACAGTGCAGTTTGAAAATGAACCACAGCAGCGGAAAATGTAGCAAATGTAGCAACTTTGGTCCCTAATCAAACCGACTCTACTGGAATATCCGGTAGGAAAACATCATAAGACTTCATCAACTCATATTTTGATTTAATTTTAACTTTGACTTTTCTAGAGGATTTCATCATTTACAGATGTTCTGATTAATGAGAAATTAAGATGATAATGAAGGATTACACTGTACAAAGGTACCAGTCAGGAAAAGAGAAAGAGAGAGAGAAAGAGGTAGAGAGATAACTTGAAATAGAGATAGCTAGCTAGAGAGAACCAAATGAATATATATAGACAGAGAGACGGAGAGAAATAGAAAGGAAGACAGTTTCTTGTGTTCCTTTTTAGGAGGTTAAACCCAACCAAAAGGTTATTCTACCAAGTATTAATTTAAGGTGTGTAGCTTTAAATAACTCACTGAAGTTGAAGGACACTTTCCAGAAACGTTTATCATGGCCTCCCATTTTAGATCTACTGTAAACGTACCCTGAAGAGGAGGGGAAGGAGGAAACAGATGTTTTAAACAGCAACACAGATGTTTAATTGGGCAAAATGTGCATCAGGTTTGCGGTTCAGAAACCCAACTGGTGCACAAATATTAAAAAAAGGGGTAGATGAGAAGAGGAGGGAGGGCCGGGTAATTAAAAACACCTTGCAGTAAACGAACCGCAGGGAGGGGGACGGAGGCTGCGGCGTGCACAGCTGCACGACCCCAAAGCCCCGGGAGCTCCCCACAATTAAGAGAGGCCGGTTCAAAGCCAGCGCCTCGGTCCTGGGGGGGCAAGGATAAGAAGGCCGACACACAGAGCGAGGCACGTTCTGAACTCTGATTCAGACCAACACAAACAGGCGTGTGATGTTGGGAGAGTCTGGTCAGGATGCTCTGTGCCTTTGAAGGCTGCATTCCTGCCCTGAGAGCCAGATAAGAAACTGGGTCCTTCCTCCAAGCGCCGATGGGATGGACCCTTCACTTTAAAAACCACAGAACCTGCACGACTTCACCCAGACCAATCCACAGGCTGTGCTGCTCATTAAAAGCTGGAAAAGCAACTGCACAATCAAACTTTACTTATGTTTCAGTAAGCAAACTGAAACGCTTCTGCATGGAAAAGAAATATGGGACGGAATCACGGAAATGAAAAACCAAAAAGGAATTCACAACAAAATGCAGAATTTCACAAAATTACCTAATATCCACAACGGCGTATTGTGGCCATCTAAGATTTAAGAAATTTATGACTTTGAGAAGTCAAAAATGTTTAACGTTCTCCGCTTTAAACCAGGGATCACCACACTTTTAAGAGCCGCTGCAGGCCAGAAATAAAGAACTGTCAACATTTGTATGTCAGTTTTTTCTAGAAAATGTTTTAGGTCAGCCATAGCAACAAACTCTCTGAAACACCAACAGCTTCGCCAAAAAATTATTAAGTAACTCGAATCTTAGCGCAAATTTCAGTGCCACAAACTTCTATGAAACGGGATAAAACCTTTACATACACTTTATCAGAAAACGGTTGATTAGAGGTGCAAAGAAACGACGGCCCTCAAAAACATAAGGAAACTACCAGCTAGCCGCTAGCTAGCCGCTAGCTAGTTATGTCTGCTAACTCTTGAACATTTAAATAAATCACTAGAAGTGAGAGTTGAAGGAAATTTTTTAGTAAACAATGATCCTGATCATTGTGGAAGTGTGAACAAGCTTTTATTTCCAATAGTTTTCATTTCCTCCATGTGATAATTATTTTGGTGTCGCATTTTTAGAGATTCTTAGTTTGTACAAAATGTTTGAGTTCTTCCAAAACATGAAACACTTTGGCATTTTATAAAGCCATTGTTCTGTTAAATCATAGCAGTTATAACAGGAAACACTGACCTCTAGCTAATTTTCTTTCATCCACACCATAATTACGTTTTATCTGGTTTAATAAAAAGTGTCAAAACAGAAAAAAATGGTTTAAAAAAAGTTACATTTCTGCATTTAATTTCAGATCTATAGCCGTCTCTGTGCTGACCCCCGTGCAAAATCAATTGTGGTTAACAAATTGGCCGTGACGTCTCACCCCTCCATGATGGGCGGGTCCAGTTTTCATGGACCCGCCCAGTTTTTAGGGCGCTGTTCTCCGTCCTGGGAGGCCTCTCTTTAAAAGCCGAGGTTAAGTTAAAGCCGGTGTGAAATCAACAGCAGACTGACCCAAACGGACCCGCCACACACAGAGGCTCCTCTGGATCAGCAGATCAAAGGTTGGAGGCTTCACCAAACCTTAGGAATCAATTATTTCACATTTAAACTGACACACAAAACTAAATGTGGAAACATATTAAACTTCAACGATTTCCCCATTAAAATATCAAAACTTTACCTCATCATTATATATTTTTTAAAAAGATTTTATAACTTATCCTTGCTCTTCTGAGGCTTCACTAGTTTTTTTTGTGTGTGTTTTACATGTTTTAAAGATAAATACAAATAAAACTGAGAAACTGCCAAAGAAACTACCACGTCTTTAACATTAAGGCCTTACTGATTAAAGCAGGCGCCTATATCTTGCCGAAAGGTTATCTGAGTTAATTGTGTCTTATTTTAAGTGTACCAACATACTTCCACTAGAAACTAGACCAAAAATACTTGGTGAGTTTTTGTTTTTGCAGTGCAGCATCTCTACTTCCTTATTTTTATAATTCTGTTGGAAAAACATGAATTATTCAAAACAATCTGAGCTCCTGATCCCTAACCGGTCGTCGTGGCGACCTCTCACGTTGCCGATGTTTGATTTCTGATCAACCCGAGTTTCATGTGTGCAACCGCAGGGATGGCGCCGGTTTCGGCTCATTATTCCCAACAGGTGGAGCGGGTCGCATCCAGCTGAACCGTGCCGCTCGCTCGCCGTTTGTTTTTCTCCCTCAGAAGCAGAGCTCACCTTTCTCCCTGGTGTCGTGGCAGTTTGATGTAGTCTGCTGTTGACAGATCGCAGTTAATGGAGCAGCAGGTGGACTCGGAGTGCGATGATACAACAATATGGCCCGTCATTTTCTCACGCCAGCTGCTCCCCCCCTGACAATCACAGCCTCCTCTGCTGTCACTCAAACTCTTCCTCCGTCTCGATAAACACCTCTGCCTTTCAGGGCTTTCTCATATTTCAAAACAAACACACAACAAATTGGATGGCTCTGCGGCTCCTTTGCCACGGTGGCTTTTCTTGCAGCGTTTTCTAGATAACAACTTGAAATTGGGTTATTTTTTCTTGAGAATGCAGGAGGGGAAAAAACTCCTCTTAGTCGTAAACTTTTTCATACGACCGACTGTCCAGGGATTCCTGCAGATGAAGAGGTTCAAGACTTTTCCAGATTCAACTTCCAGAGTTCCCAGTTCCTCATGTTCACTTTAAAAGGAACAAAGAAAGGAGTTAAGGAAGGAAGGGAGAAGGAGAAATGAAAGGAAGTTTAGAAAAACAGAGGTAGGACACGAGAAGGAAACAAAATTAAGACTACAAAGGAAGGAAGGGAGGAAGGACATGAAAAAAGATGGAAAGACATGAAGGATGGAGGAAAGAAGAAAGGACATAAGGAAGGAAGAATATGCAAAAGGAAGTCATGAGGAAGGAAGTGAGGAATAAGGGAACAAAGGAAGAAAGGAATGAAGATAGGACATAAGGTTGGAAGGGAAGAAGGAAGGAAGGACATAAAAAAGGACGTCATCAGGAAGGAAGTCAGGAAGGAAGGAGGGAGGGAAGAGTGAAAGAAGGAAGAAGAGGATGACATCAGCTAGGAAATCATAAGGAAGGAATTGAGGAATGAAGGAAAGAAACAAGAAAGGAAGGGAGTAAAAAAGGAAGGAAGCAAATAAGGAAGGAAGTAAAGGAGGACATGAAGTAATTCATAAGGAAAGAAATGAGGAAGAAAGAAAGGACTGAAAAGGAAGGGAGATGAGGCATGAGCAAGAAAAAAGGGAGAGGGTGATAAGACAAGAACATGGAAGTCAAGAGGAAGGAAGGAAAGACAATGCAACAATATGCAAATAAAAGAAGCTGGAAACAGAGTTTTCTTTACTCTCCTCCAGATTGATGCTCCTTTAGACATTTCCAGAAGAGCAGCTGCTAAAACAGCAAACACTGTCTGCAGGCATCAACATGTTCTGGTGGAGTCGTTTCCGTATACCTTGCTGAAAAGTTACTTGAAAGCTAGTTTCATCGTACCAAGATATTTGCACTACAAACTGTACCAAAATTACTGGGTAGGATTTTGTGTTTTTGCAGTGCAATAAAGTAGCGTGTTGCGTGTTTTCCTAGCATCATGTGTTATTCGTAGGAACCCTATTTATCCCGTCTGTCATCCGTCAGCGGCTTGTGCAGCAGCTGCTTCCTTAAACAAGCGAGATACCATCACATTACCAGGAGAAAGGACTGTGAAATGTTTTACTTTGCACGTCGCCTCATTAAGCTTAACAAAACGAAGCAAAACGGCCTGGGTGAAGGTCACGACCTTTCACTGGGCGTGGCTCGGAGCGGGGACTTCATAATGGAGACCAGGCGGCATGAATGGGCTGAAAACGAAGGGAGCAGTCGGGTCGAGGGTCAGTCGTCCTGCTAAGCTGAGTTTTCTTCAACAAACACACACCAACGCACACACACTTTGGCCAGCCGCCCGCTCACAATGCAGCCAAGTCTCCCACCATTTGCTGCCTTTTGTGCCTCCACCACAATGATTAACTGGGTTTGGTGATTCAGAGAGTCTACAGAAGCACAATGCTCTCTTTTACAACACATAATGGAGTCGGTCCATGAGTCAAACAGTCTGCTTTTCATTCCTTTCCTTTGGAGGACCAAACTTTCCTTTCTGCCCCCCGCTCGCTGCCTTTTCACGCCCCTTGTTCTGTTTTCTGCCGATAAATTTGTCTATTTTTTCCCTCAAATTCATTAAATCAAGAAGCAGGCTGCCTTTATACATATAAACAAGAAACATATGGAAATGTAGAAAGTCAGGCTCCAATTAACAATCATTTTAGTGTCCGATTAATCGATTATCCAGATGATTAATCAATTGTTCTGAAGTGTGATTGATTAATCACATTTTTTCACTTTTTAAAATGGCATATTGTACAGTTTTTTCATTTCACCACTTAAGTTTTGTATTATTTATACAAAATTAGGAATACGTTAAGAGATGCAAATGAACAGTTGGATTCCTTTTTTAAATGAGAAAACAAACACTTTAATGCCCAAAATGCAACAACATGTTTCCATTAAGAGGATTTATTTTTGAAACATCAAATTGTGCAATTATGTGGTCATTATAACATTGGCGATAATCTCATTTATCAATTAATCGTGATTAATTGTGATTAATCTGATTAATCGTTTCAGTTCTAGTGAGAAAGTCAATCAATAACTTCTCCTGGAAGAAAACCATGGAGCTGACCTCCCTGGTCTTAAGTATCCCTTTGATTTGAGGAGAAACGTGGATGGAGATGGCGTTTAAATCTCAAGCAGAGCCAGAGGAGTTTCTTACAGCTGAGATACGGAGGGAAAAATTGAGAAAAAAAAAGTAGCATTCTTGTAATGAGCAGCGTGCAGCACTGAAGGGAGCTTGTAGAACATGGTGCGAGTGCAGCTGAACAGGAGTGTTGACAGAAACACTGCAATCTCAGAACATCACACCCCGGGCCAATTACACGAGGTGTGAAGGAGCGCACCTCTGCTGATGACAGGAAGGGGAGGAAGGAGGAAAGGAGTGTGGCTCCTTGTGAAGACCGCCTGTCCAGAGCTGGAGGAAAGCAGCAGCAGCAGCAGTTTGGCAGGTTTTCTCCGGCTGTTAATGTATGCGTCATTAAGAATTTGGGCAAACTGTTTGAAATTTTGAACAGGAACACTGGGAGGGTTTAAAAATTAAGTAAGCAGCCATGATTGAGTCAGAGGTTTGGTGAAACCAGCCCTGAAGGCCGATTGGAGCCCGTCCCCCCCCTGCCATCCGAGCAAACGCTGCCACTCCTGTTGATCAACTCAGATAAGATAAAACCTCCTGGTCACAGAGTGGACGAAATCTGGTGGCGGTTTTTCTAACGTCAGTTTGTTTCACGTTGCCTGGAAAGGTTACAGAGTTCCTAGAAAAATGTTTTAATGATTAAATTCCCAACTGACTGGACGGATGGATGAATGGCTGGCTGATCGATCGATAGGTGAATGTACGTCCTGATATAAACTTGTATTTTTGAAGTTTTTCCTTCTCGTGCCTGAAGCAGGACTTTGCGAACACCAATCAGCCGCTCCTTTCTCAGCAGCAGGTGAACGCTCTGCTCTCTTTGTGTTCTCTCCTCCATTCTGTGTGACTTTACTGGGCACAACAGGATCCCTTCCTATTCAAACACACACAGGCAACCCAACAAAACCTCAGCAGTGGAGAAGTAATCTTGATGTTGAGTAAAAGGACGGCTGCTTTATCCACAGGCTTCCAAAAATAAAAATGATGCACACTCATCTGTCCTCTCCTTTTCTTTTCTTTCCTCAGAAAGTCTGCTGCAGGAATCAGAAAATAAGAGGAAATAACACGTGAACAGCACAAGTCTGTTCAGCATCGCTGCGTTTCACAATGGGGGTCCAAGTGCATCTTCCAGCCACTGCGGGCAGCTTTTTGCTCCCCGTGACCCTTTGCATTTTGACCCTTCTGCCTCAAGGCCTCCTGGGTAAATCAGGAGACGAGGAAAATACCAGAAGCTCTGCGCTGCTGCAGAGGGTGAAAAGAGGATGGGTGTGGAATCAATTTTTCGTCTTGGAGGAGTACACCGGACTGGAGCCGCTTTACATTGGAAAGGTCGGTGCTGACTGAAAGCATGGCTACACACACACTCACACACAGTATATATATATTTATATACATATATGACAACATGAAGGTACAACCTGAGGAAATGCGAGGTGAACAACTTTTCAGCGTGACCTTTTCAGTCAGTGTTGCTGGTGTGAAGAGAAGCTCAGTGTAGGAGTTGCTAAGTTTCCAAACTTTCAACCAGAGCAGAGCAACAGATCTTCCAGAGAGCTCAGCAGCCTGCAGGAGGAGGGATGATCAGACGAGAGGCAAAGGGCGGCTTCAAAGGTATAAAAAAAAATCCAGATTTAATCCTGAGGTCTTCAGGCCCTCAGCAGTGCTGTCGTTGGAGCTTTGACATACCCCCGACCAAAGAAACAGGCAAATAACACGCTCAAAATAGAAACGGTGAGAGGATTATTGTCTGATCTGGTTTCATTTGACCTGAGATGGGATAAATAGGTAAAACGGGAAGTTTTAGCAGACTGAGTGAAACTTTGGGAAAGACTTACTGGCTGCAATGTAGAGGCTTTCATTGTTCATCCCACTTGGAACTACAAGGCTAAGTTCTAACCAGATAATGCTCTTACAATCGCACAATGCTTCGTCATAATCGTACAATGCTTCGTCATAATCATACAACGCTTCGTCATAATCGTACAACGCTTCGTCATAATCGTACAACGCTTCGTCATAATCACGCAATGATTCGTCATAATCGTACAATGCTTCGTCATAATCGTACAATGCTTGGTCATAATCACGCAATGATTCGTCATAATCACGCAATGATTCGTCATAATCGTACAACGCTTCGTCATAATCGTACAACGCTTCGTCATAATCGTACAATGCTTGGTCATAATCACGCAATGATTCGTCATAATCACGCAATGATTCGTTAAAATCATGCACCGCTGCTTTCTAACTATTTAGACTATTTCATTATCATGTAACACTTCGTTCTAACCGCGTAACGCTCCTCTCTAACCACACAACATTTTGTCATCACATAATGCTCCGTTTCAATCAGGCAACATTTTGTTATCTCGTAACTCTCTGTTCCAACCACACAATAGTTTTTTCTAACCATGTACCATTTCGTTATCACACAAGATAAACTGACCTAAACAAATTCAGCAATCCGTGTGTTTTTCTCCTACATAATACTTTCTATACTCACTTCTACTGTTTTTACATTGAATTACTTAACATTTTTAATAATGTTCTAAGATAAATACATTCTTAAAATAATCTTTGTATTTTAAACTGCACAGCCTAAATTTCTTTCGCTTTGAAAAAACTTCAACGCTGACACGGCTTTTATATGGGAATGAAAGAAACCTGCCAAATTTCTATTCTTGTTGAATTTCATTTGAAAATATTTTAGAAAATTATACATTTTTAAAGTCAATGGACAGAAACTCCAATGGTGTTTTACATTGATTGATTTACGTGCTAAACGCTTTTTAATTTACTTAGTCACTTTAACATTTTGTTGTTTAATTTGCTATACTGGTAAATTTTTTTATCTTGATCTGAGCTTTTTAATTTCGCTTACAGTGGTTTACCGAGTAACATTTCATGGATGATTACAGTGGTTCAAACAGGTCAGTCACCAACGGAGAGAATAGAAAACATGAAAAATATAAGGTATAGCCTCATCTTTTAACATATTTCACCTCGATTCAAAGCCCCTCTGAGCTGTTGTTCAAAGCCTTTAGGTTGGGAGATGAAGCAGGTAACTAATACCCTAAGTTTTCAAAGCCCTTGGAGGTATGAAGGGATTAGTGCAGGAGGTGAAGGAAAAGTTTCGGCCTAAGATGCATCAACATAAAGAAGTCTAAAAGCAACAACACAGTTTTGATTAAAAACTTCTGCCCGAGCCTGATGGGTTTGCAGGTGGAGTGCAGGTGAGCATGAGGTCCAGAAGCAGAAAGGGACGCTCCATTGTCTGCTGCACAGGAATGATAGGTGTTGCAAAGAGAGCTGGTGAAGCATCAGCGGCCTGACAACAAGGAGCTGTTTTACAACCCTGTCTGGGTCTCTTCTTTCAGAGGCCACAGATGATGAAAGGCCAGAGCCAGCGTCTTGAAAGCAGTGTGTTTTCAGATAGAGTGCTGAGCCTGTGTGCTCGCCTGTTGATTATATACAGCGCAGATACCAATGGAGGCATTGAATTTCACTCTGCCAACGTGATGGCAGTAAGTACTCGTCGTCATACAGAGAGGCCCTCTTAGTACAAAGTAAAGGCTGATTGCACATCAACAGGCTGGCATTTGCACTTAGAGGCCACAAAAGGCTGCTGATTGCACTGCTGGGTCCATAGCAACAAACAGGGAGCGAGCTGTGATTACAGGTCTGCTGCCTGTTAACAGATTAAAGTTATGCATGTGACCACACACCACCTCTCTGGTCTACAGTTAACTCATCTTCACATCCAAACTGGGCATGTACAGGACCTGTCAGTGTTGTCAACATAACGCCAAATCTTAAATGTACGCGTGATAATACAAAAGGAAAAGGGATGCAGTGAGTCGATACGATTTCTCAAAACTACGACAACTAGATAACAAGGTCGGGAAAAGGTTTTAATCAAAAAACTGAGGGATATGGAAGTAGGCCAGTTATGCTAGCTTGACTTTGGCAACCTTACCATGTAGATGTGCGGTGCAGTTCAGTTCGACCCACACTGCAACTCCAACAGCTCATCAGTAGAGCAGGTGTTTACATTTCTAACCTGCTAATGTGCTACCACATTGCTAATGTGCTGCTAATTAGCTACCACAGGCATAGCTAATCTAACACAGCAATTAATAATCGCAAAACAAACACCAAGCCTGAAAACATAAAACTATAACGGAGTGAATGTTCTGTTTTGTGTGTTTGTTTTTTGGTGTTGCATCCTGATACATTAGTGGCGTTGTAGTCAGTCAGTTGCTATGGCAACAAGCGTGAGTATAGCATAACTGACACAGAGAGCAAGAACAAATTAGAATACATATGGTTTGGAGTTGTTCAACGGTTTTTCTGCGTTATTTCCCCTTTGCTGTGGCAAACTGCACTAAATAATACGTACATCTCTGGGTTTCATTTTCATAAAGGAGTTCATGGAACACTTTACAGAAAAATATATTGGAGATACTTCAGAAGAATGAATTTCAAATAGCTTTAAGAATGTATTTGCAACAAAAACGATTATACCAAATGATTCTTCTTAATCCTATATGGCATGCTAAATGCCTAAAGCATGACATTATATCACCACCAGCCTAAACCAACGATACCAGGATGGATCAATGTTTTCCTGTTGTTTACACCCAGTTCTGACTCAGCCGCTGAACTGGTGAAGCTAAAATTGAGTCTTATTAGACCAGGCATCAATTGTTCTCCAATGTTGGGGAGGCTGTGTGAATTGTAGCCTCAGATTCCTGTTATTGGCTGACAGGTGTGATACCCAGTTTGGTTTTCTGCTCCGAGGCTCAGCCTGTTGTGTGTCCAGATTTGTTACTCAGCGCACCTTTCTAGTAAACAAGTGGATGTTTGAGCTCCTTTTTCTACTTTGTCATCTTGCACCAGTCTGCTCATTTTTCCTCTAACATCAACAAGACCTTTTCAACCACATAACTGAAGCCCACTGATTACTTTCTCTTTCTAGGACTACTTTTTGTAAAACAGAGATTTTTTTTTGTGCTAGAAAATATCAGTGGAGCAGCAGTTTCTGAAAGACCAGCATGTCAAAGTCACTGAAATCCAAGTTCTTCCCTGCTCTGATGCTCACTTTGAACTTCACTAAGTTATCGTCACCACAGCTAGAATCATGAATAAGTCTACCATCATGTGATTAGAAATTTCAATACTTTTGTTAACCAGCAGTGTTCACTGCTGGTAGGTGTAGCTTGTGTGAGGTATTGGGGTTAGGGTACAGAGTCAGGGTAGGGTTAGGTGTATGTGTCAAAGAATGAGAGCTAATCATTTTCTGAATGCATGAAAGTGAAAATGGCTGACAGTGGTGCCGGCTTCCTATCTCCTAAAACTGTTAATGAAGTGTCAGTTCTGGTATCAGATGAGTAACTAATTAAATTATACAACTAGAACTCCAGAAGGAAGCAGTTAAATGTCTTCAGTCTGTATTTTTATGTATTTTTATCCCTTAAAAGGACAGTTGAAGGTCATCTACATATGTTGTAAACTTTAAATTCAGTCATAAGCAGATGAAATTTAGGAACATACTGTAAGTGTTGATGCATAAATTAGCATAATCAACCAACTTCTTGATTTCTGTTCACACCTGTCATTAATCTGAGTTTATGCCACCTACTGGTTATTTATAGTTTCTGCTGTCTTGCCTGATGAGAGACCTTTATTAAACATGAAAACCTTCTATAACATTGTGGTATTTTTACAAGCGTTCTTTCTAAGTCAGCGTTTCTTTACTTGGATATTAGATTTCATACAACTTTCCCAGAAACTAACTTCATGTAGTTTGAATCTGAATTTATCTTCATGCAATCATCCAATCTGGTCCAGCACCAGCTTTAATTTGAAAGCTTTTATCAGCCAATACTGATAATGTGCTGATAATATTGTTAAGCCCACATTTCCACAAATAACTGCTGATTATTTTCTGTTTAAATCAGCTCATGTTTATCTCTGCAGGCATTTTCTTTCCTCCAATCGGTCTGCTCTTCAGGGATTGAGGCACATGTTAACTTGGACAGAGATCATAAGGCTGATTTGGCCTGGAAAGTTATTTGCTTGTCTTATCTTCATGTTTAGCAGAGCAAGGCAGCTTTATTGTTGTAAAACTGGGAGATGTGACCCATTTGAATGCCCTCAAAAAACACATCACCACCCAAAACACTGAGCTTGTGGCTGAATTTAGAAGCATTCACTGTTGGGATCAGATTGGTCATAAGAAGAGTTTCATTGTCTGAAAGTGTTGTTTTCCTGCAGCTCCACTCGGACATGGACAAAGGTGACGGCTCCATCAAGTACATCCTGACGGGCGAGGGGGCGGGAACCACCTTCACCATCGACGACAGCACCGGGGACATCCACGCCATCCAGAGGCTGGACAGGGAAGTGAAGTCGCAGTACGTTCTCCGGGCCCAGGCCCGAAACCGCCTCACTGACCGACCTCTGGAGCCTGAATCCGAGTTCATCGTCAAGATCCAGGACATCAACGACAACGAGCCGAAGTTCCTGGATGGTCCCTACCAGGCCACCGTTCCAGAAATGTCCAGAATAGGTCAGCAGAAGGGAACAATCAGGGCAGCTTGAGTTTTATCACCAACAAATATCCTCATCAAACTGTCTCTTCTTCCAATTTGCTCAGGAACGTCTGTGATCCAGCTCACTGCCACAGACGCCGACGACCCCACGTATGGAAACAGCGCTCGTGTCGTCTACAGTATCCTGGAGGGGCAGCCATACTTCTCTGTGGACGCAAAAACCGGTATGACCGCAGACATGCTGCAAACCTTCCTGACTGACTTTCAGCATCACGGAAGTTGTTTTTGGGAAGAGTTGTTTTTGCAGATGCTGGTTTACATACGTTACAAAGTTAGGAAAGTAGCTGTTCTACAAAGAAAAATAATTTCTCAATTTAAAACTTGAAATAATGGAAGAAATGTTTAGGATACACAATTTTATCTTAGGTATCTATTTAAAAAGCCAAACAGAAAACTTTTTGAACAACCCTGCCCAGACATGTTCCACCTACCAGATTAAAATTAGACATTCAATCTGTATCTCTACTCCTTGAAATGATTTGACAGTGATGATTTAAATCAAACTGTCCAATCAGACGGCAGATAATCAAGTAATTTCCTGCTCAACAGGTGCTTCATTTAAACAAACCTTACTTATTTCACCTCAACCTTCAATCCAAATTCAATTTAAACCAAGAAGTGAGCAATTATTCAGCCTGCCTCATTTTTATCTACACCACTGAGGAGAAGCTTAACTACTGATGCATATAAAACTACCTTCACACAGCATCCTTTGCTGAAACCAGATTTCTTTTTTTTTGCATGGTCGTTCATACTACTAATTAAATGTGGCCGCGGTCTATGACTCCAGACTGACTAGCAGAAGAATAGCGTATTTTTTCCAGGACTGCATGTGTCCTTTCTGTCTTGTAACCCAAAGCTGAGCTACATGGAGAACAAAGAAGACTGTTGTCACTTTGGAAATTCCTGCAGGTCATTCAGTGTCTGTTTGCCTCTTGGTGGAACAGTTTCCATCTCATCTTTTCATCCGTTTTGCAGAACTTTACAGTTTTTGTGATGTCCTTCTCGCCTCAAGTTTCCTTTTATTGGTGACCGTTTAAACTTTGTACATTTACAGTAAGGAGGAAATGTTTTGTACCCTTCTCCTGACTGATACTCCTGAATCAGTTTTTAGGGGGATTTAACAAAACGTGTGTCACCCTACAGGGAAAATCATATAACAATAACTTTTGCATTTAAATTTTTACAGATGTGTCAAATTTTTGGAGCCAGTGGTAAAGTAAAAACCTTCCTGTGGCTGCTGTTTTTTCCTCCTCTCTGTCACGTTCTGAGATGTGGCTGCAGTGATTTCACTGCTCGCTTTGTGCCCCCTGTGTAAACCAACCAGCTCAAAATGTGGGGAGCTCAGCATGGTTCCTGTTGTTGCTACGAAACTACCCAACGTGTTTCTTTTGTTGCTACATCTAAAAACTCACTCATGGCAGCTGACAAAGAAGACGTGTTAAGCTTAAAAGTGTGACTTTCCTGTTGATAATGAGGACAGAAGGCAGGCTGTAGTGTGGAAAGAGGCTTCCTGGAAAAAAAAAAACGCAGCTTATAATTGAAATCTAGTCTTTTAGACTTGTTTTTTTTTAACCAAGCTGTGTTGGTTTGATTTCAGTTATTTGGCTATTACTTTGTAGTCTTAGTTACTGCAGGATCAATCCTTCAGCCTCTGATCATTTTTATAAAACTATAGTTTTATCTGGAGTGAATCTTTCCAAATATAACACAGATTATAGTTTACAGAAAAATGCGGGTTTTATTTTCAGGTATCCACAGGTAGATCGCTTCAGAAGAAAACAAAAACAACATCTCTGTTTTTCAGTGACTCACCAAAAACTCTCAAAGGCTGGAAAAATAACTAGAAAACAGGAGGAAATTATATTAAGTTTAAGAATCAAACTCTAGACCCGCATTATACCTGCAGAGGAGATGATTGGAGGAAATCTGACCAAAACAAACAAGCGGTTGGAAAAATATCACAAAAGAAAAATAATAATAAAGTCTTTGGGCAGCAGCCTTGGATTGGTTATTAAAAACCCTTTAGAGAGGAATGCTTAGAGAAGCCGAAGCATCTCGAGTGGAAATAACAATTAACAGTGAGCTCAAGGCTGTACTGGTTTGCTGTGGTGACCAGTTTACCACCTTGGTGATACTGGTTGGATCCGCTTTTCCCAACAGACCTGCCTTGCTCTCAGGAACAGACAAGGTTCCTGCCTTTAACCGAGGCTCAGCTTATCATAAGAAAAAGTCTGCAAAATGAAGGCTGCAGCTGGAATCACGGCAAATCAAACAAGGAATGTTTTTGTCATGATTTATGAGCAAGTTTTCAAAATGTTGCCAAAAAGAGAAAAAAAAAAGTGAGTTTCTATTTACTGGTTTGGAGCGAATCAACCAGGAGATGCAGAGCGTAATTTCATAAAATATTGACACGATATTTTATGAAATTAAAAATATCGTTTAATTTCATATTTTATTAAATTAAACGATATTTTAATTTCATATTAAAATATCGTTGGCTGCAATAAGTAGAATGAAAAGTTTGCAAACAGGAAAACTGGCTCAGGAAAATGTAGAGTCCTCCCCTCCAGGCTGGAGCTTTGTTCTTTGAAATGATCCGAGTTTCACACTCTGGTGAGGGAAAGTTATCCGTTTTAGAACATATTCAGTAAATGTGTTTCCATCTCCCTTTTAGCACATTACTCCAGAAAAGCCAAAAACTACCTCCAGCTAGACTAAAAACATTTTCTGCTAAATTAAAGCTACAGTACGTAACTTTCATAAAAATATATCCTTTTTACAAATTAGCTAAAACCCTCACTTTGTTTTGACAGCAGAGTATAAGACCAATAATCTATATAGAAAAACTCCTCTGTCTTCTTCCAGTGCTCCCAGTATTAACTACAAACCTGCACAACTTGGTCAGAAATAACCAATCAAAGCTGGGAGGAGGGTTTTAGCACTGTCAATCACCACTGTGTATGTGCTACTCACCTCCTCCCCCTTTCTCTCAGCTTCTCCTGACTGTTATTAAACCTCAGGCTAATGAGCTAGTTAGTGTTGTGTGTGCAGAGAAGCTTTTTAGCACACCTTGCTTGTAAACGAGTAGATATTTCAGCTCTTTTGCACTACTTTCTGTCTACTTTCTGTTCTCCTCTGACATCAACACGGCACTTTTCATCCACACACTGGATATTTTCTCTCTTTAGGAGCACCAGTCCGTCTGGCTGCAACAACCATGCCAAGTTCAAAGTCTCTTAAATCCCTTTTCTTCTCCATTCTGATGCTCGCTTTGAACTTCAGCAGCTCTTCAACACTTCTAGATGCAAAAAGGCGTCGAGTTGCAGCCATTTCATTGGTAGAATTGCTCATGTATTTGACAATTATGTGATTGGATAAAGAAACTAAATGAATGCATACTGTTAAAATTAGGATATTTCTTTCTTTTGATTGTGACTCTCATAAAATCGATTAATCAAAGAGTGCAAAATTTATTTTAATCCCTGACAAAAATGAGTTTGAATTGATTAAATGTCAGAACCATCGAGCAAAGGAAACTAAAGCTCATGGGCTTTTATTGTAACCTTTATCGTGATAAACATCTAAAAAATTTTATTCAACATTGCCATGATAAATTCCTAATGATGTTTTTTTTTAAAAAAAAAAAAAAAAAACCATCTGGGTTGTCAGGATTGTTATTTTTACTATTTTCTCCACTATTTATGCAATGTGCATCAATAAATACCAATAAATTTGAAATTATGATTAAATGCAGTTCCTGTGTGCAGCTTAGTGATACAAATTGCACTTCTTTAAGTGACTGGTGTCCCGATGGTCCCAAAAGTACCACAAAATGTTGTGATAGAACCTAAAGTCCTTATCGCCCACCCATACTCCGGGATATAATGAACGTCCTCCTTTTTGACCCATCTGCCATTTGGGGTCAAAGTTCAGGTGTTATTTCAGCTTTTGACTTTGTTGGCATGGTTACGTAGCACAACAACTGTTCTAAATTAAAAACAAGTAAGAGCAAACATCCTTCCAGCTGCACAGCATCCAGAACCAGAGGGAACAATTATCCAAACATGCAATTCATGTTGTTGCCAAATTGAAAACAGTCGTGAATTTGGCAAACAAAGCTAATTCCTAAAATTGCGCAACTTCAGGAAACCCTCACACTGAGACATCTTGTTGAAAAACTAACTCTTCTTTTAACGACCTTCATGATTTAATGCTGGCATACAAGAACCTTTTAGTTTTCCTGTTTTATTTCATCCGACGGCTCCCCTGTCAATAAAACCTCAGCATGGCTCTTGAGCAATGAATCAGCTTCCTGGGTTCCACTGTAAGTGCTGCCTGTAAGGCTTTTACTGATGTCAACACAATATAAAACTCAAAACTGGACCAGAAAACATCATCAGCTGACCCAGACTTCTTGTTTTCTGCGTAGCTGTTGGTTTTTATGAAGACTACACTCTGGTGAAATAAGTGTGTCGAGTTGCAGGGTGAAGGCCAGCTACATGCACTGAACTGTTTCTACTGTAGAAGCTGAGAGACTTCACAAATACATCCCACACAGACAGCACAGATCCAAAGCATCCACAGCTATTTCAAGGTTACAACCATCAACTTTTTTATTATGGGTATAATCTCAGTTGCTCTGTGAAGACCTCAGGGGTTTTTTAAAGAACATTACAGAACAATTAGGAAACCACAGCACTGCAAAAAACTATGTTTTACCAAGTATTTTTGTCTAGTCTCTTGTGCAAATTTCTTAGTACACTTGAAATAAAACTAAATCAGCTTACAAGTAACTTTTCAGCAAACAATAGAAGCTTGTTTTAAATCAGTAATTTCTTAATATTGGTCAATAATTTGATCCACTGGCAGATAAATTCACTTTAACAAGAAATTGTTCACGTTATACACAAAATATTCTGCCAATGGACATAGTTCTTTTTCATCAGTTTTAAGGACTTACTGGCTGAAAACAAGCTCCTATTTCTTAATGACATGTTATCTATAAGTTAGTTGTTTTATTTAAAGTGTACCAAGATATTTGCACTAGAAACTTGGTTAGATTTTGTGTTTTTGCAGTGAAAGGAAAGGTTGGGGAGGAAATAACGGATTAATCAGAGTTAAGCAGAGAACCACAGTAACTCTGGCGTTAAACATGCAATAATCTGCTTTTAGAGGGAATCTAACACTGAAAACACCGTCCTCATGCTGAAACACAGTGGTGACAGAATCATGCTGTGGGAATGCGATTCTTCCCATAGGTCAGGGATGCTGGTCAGCTGATGGCGCTAAACTGTCAACCAGAGCTACAAAGTAGCATAGATCAAATGATATCAATGTTTCAGAATGGCCTAGTCAAAGATCAGAAAATAATTACACACTCTGGAGCAGCTCTCCTTCTCTGAGCTTTAATTGACCCCGTGACCTTTGGCTTCTGCTCCCAGGTGTGGTCCGGGTGTCCTTAACAGACATGGACCGAGAGACCAGGGAGAACTACACCATCCTGATCCAGGCTAAAGACATGGGCGGACAGCTGGGGGGGCTGGCGGGGACCACCACCGTCAACATCACGCTGAGCGACGTCAACGACAACCCGCCCGTGTTTGACCAGCGTAAGCAAAACACCGAGTGTGTTTACGATGCATCTTCACCACCATGACGCACACTTTATTATCTCCTCGAGTTTTTAACAGCTCATTTACTGTAAACAAATGGCTGCTGGCTGCTGCATGCACAGCCTGCAGCTTTGAATATCTGATGCTGCTGCAACAAACCTTTGTTTTTACAGAGAGATATGCTTCAATTGTCTTACAAAGTACAAAACAAAGCTCATTTTTGAATAATTTTATTTTACAGATATCGTGTTTAAAGGGGCAGTATTTAGTAAAATGTTATTTTTCCAGCTTTCCATCATGTTATAATGTTATCCCCTCATCAAAAACATTCCTGGAGTGTTTCTTTGATTCTTTCATTCATGTTTAAGAAATCCTATAATCTCCATGGCAACCATTCAGCTGTGCAAAACGCCTGGCTGGACCTAACTCCACCTTCGAGTCGCAGCTCCTCCCCCACTCAGCTCCTTCAGACTAGCCAGCAGCAATTAGCAAACACCTGGTGGAACTGCACATCTGCTGAGCTCATTATAGGAGTTACTTCTCAGTGAAACGCTGGTAAAAATGTGGTGAAAGGGTCAATAGAGGAGCCATGTTTGGATGACTTCCTGAAGCTGCAGTTCCAGAAAGGGCTGGAGTTTTTAAAGAGACAGAGGCCCAATTTCAAGCATTTACAATACAACGTCAAACTTTAAGTCTTATTTGATACATATAGAAAGCATTTTTATAACTAAAGGTAACAGTGATTGTGCTATAAAATGGAATTATATTCCTGGAAAATGCACAATACTGCCACTTTAAGGGAACATAATAACCTCTGTCTGGGAAGTGCTTCACTCCTTTCTGTTCAGACCCATTAGGAAATATTCATGGGATCCAGAACTACATAAAACACCTCAGTTTCAGCCCAGTTTTGTTCCTGGGATCACTCCTCAACTTATTCACATCATGATGGTTATATCATGATGTGAATAAGTTGTGGCACTTCGAAAGTGTTTTATAAATAGTTATTATTAATAACTTCAAAGTGTTGAACATTTTCAATAAGACAAAAACAGTACAAGTAAAACAAAAAAACAAGATCTGCAAATTGTTGACCAGAGTAGACTGAGCTTTAAAGAGATGCAAGCTAAAAATGAGCGATAATATAAACATGTAATTTACATCCCACTTACTCCAGCAGACCGTCAAAATAAAAGTATTCACCCAAGAAATGAGGGGAAAAAACAGAAAATAATGTTTTAACTTGATGATAAAAATGGTAAGAAGTTGTTAAAAAGTGCTTAAAATTGGAAGAAATTGGTGTTATCATGCCAAATACAGCAGAGTGTTAAACATAATCACTGCTTGCTTTTTACTCCACTCCAAGAAAATCACAAATTCTCCCTGAAGTGCAAAAAGCGGCGGTTCTTACCGCGCTGTTAGAGTTCACAAACCCCTCAGTTTGGATTTATTTAGCCGCTTTTCATCTAGAGAGAGAAATGGAGCGTGTGAGCGCAATAAAGTCAGATTTATTTTCCACCTATCTTAATCCAGATTAACAGACATCAAATGGCAACATGTCATCAGGAGAAATGACAATAATAAACTGTGTATCATCAGCATAGATGTGAACATTTATCTCAAGTTTTTTATCTAAAGAATAAAAAGAGAAGTATCTACGGCTGGATTCCCAACAACCCCTTTTAATCCAATTCCATTTTGTTGTCTAGAAAGTCCAGTTCGTTTGGGAAGGTGTGAATGCACAATTGGACTAAAACAGCAAAGTGAACTCTTTGAATGCACATTTGAACGCCAAGCTGACCAGAGACCCCTCCAAAATCAGGAAGCAGATTATGATGCAGGGAATTCTGGGTAAACACAACCAAAACAAACCCACAATTTTAGCGTTAGCAGGAGAAATGGCTTGTGGTCCTTTAACGAAGACTAAAGAGAAATCCTACAACCGTTAAAATGTCACGCTACTCTGCTTTTGTTTCTATTCTGTGAAGAAGGAAGTTGAGCTCAGTGTCTTCTTCAGAGGTTTTTGTATCATTTCCTTCATTAGTTCTTGGTGGAGCGCCCCCACAGGCAAGGAGAGGAACAGGTTTTTCAATTAGTTTGGTTTAATTGACAATGCAGTGTGAAAGAGAACAACACCAACTGAAAATGTAACAAACGTTGCAGCTTCGGTCGTTGAACCAAGCCTACCAGCCTATGCTGAGGGAAAACAACCTGATTCACTGCTAATGTTCTGAATAGATTGTGTTTTATTCTTCATCCAGTGATGCGTTTCCTTCCCCAAAAGCATCCAGGTGCTGAGTCCTTCAGTCCAGCTCCATGTTTGGCTCATGATAACTCCACATTAAAATCCAGGGCTGACTCTCTCTCTTTGGTCATGTTCAGATGGCTGACTGATGGCTTCAGTCCCCAAGAGAAAGAAAACTCACCACCCACTTCCACCTCCATCATAACCAATTAGCTCCGACCAATTAGCGCTGTCACTCAGTGTAGGTTTGATCAGCTGCCCGATCACACCACACTGGGCAGCTGCCACCTTTTCTTTGACGCCAAGCGGTAGATGAAGCCCTCGCCGGCCCACAAGGCAGCGTATCAGGACTTTATGGAGCCATTTATGTTTCTCTGATTTGGAGTCAAGCTGCAGTTCCGATACAAGGAAGGTATTTGGCTCCCTCTAGAGGACAAATGAGTGAACCGTGTCTGGTTTGCGTTGTCAGGGTTGTATCAGATGAGCGTGCCAGAGTCGGCCCCCGTGGGCTCGGTGGTGGGCCGGATCTGGGCCAAGGACAGGGACATTGGGGTCAACGCCGAGATGAAATACAGCATCATCGACGGAGACGGGAGGGACACGTTTGACATCAGCACCGACGCCACCAACCTGTTTGGCATCATCACCGTAAAAAAGGTAAACATTTCAGGGCAAATATTGATTGATTTCCTTCAAATAAATGCTGATGTTTTTTTACTTTGCTCATTTCTAAATCATATATAACCCTGATAGGTAACCATTGGTGCCACAATTTATTCCACATTTTACAAATGATTTTATATATATATAAAAATCCCTTCTCACCCTCCGCGGGTGGTCTCTTTCATCCTCTGAGCTCGGGTCCTCTACCAGAGGCCTGGGAGCTTGAGGGTTCTGCGCAGTATCTATATCTATATATCTATATCTATATATATATATATATTCAGTAAAATATCGATTCAAAAGTAAATTGTTGATTTTAGCTTCTCTGTTACAATTATTTTGCCTGTAAACCTCTTGGTTTGCATTGTTCTTGTTAGATGGTGTGTGTGTGTATATATATATATATATATATATATATATATATATAAATACATACACACACAATATTTTCTCTTTATAAACTATATTTGAAAATGTTAGTGGTGGCATTCAAAGAAAGGAGAAGGGTTAATAATATTAATGAAAATAAAAAGCATGACGGTATTATTTAATATATTATGGTTAATCTGAATAATTATAAACTATATATTGCTATGGTTTATAGCAATATATAGCATTTAAAGGTTTCTAATATTGTCTTTAATAATCGCAATAATTAATACAAATTATTTATTATAACATGAAATGAAGCATTTAAACAAGTTATTTTTCTGCAACTTAAACCAGTACAAATTTAAAAAATATACTCAACATGCCACAATTTAAATTTTGTTTTTTCTACATTTATATGTATTTTTCACTTTTTATTTAAATAATTAAGCTTTTAAAAAATATTAAATTGCAGCTTTTAGTTAGATATGTGTATCAGTGACAGATTAGGACAAATTAACAAAAATATTAATTGAAAAAAGAATGTAATTTATGCATATCATTAATTTATAAAAATGTGACAGGATTCACATAACATTAAATACAGCAATATAACATGAGTTTAACATGAAATATTATTAAACTATTTTCCAAAAAGTTAATATACACAAAGTTTTACATTTAAATAATAAAAATAAACATACTTGCTTTTAATAAAAGTAACATTTATTGACCCACCTTAGTGCTTACACCAATGTCTGCCTCATTTAGTTAGTGGCATGAAATGCGGCCATTTTTATTTCCATGTAAATCAAATAATCCAGATTATCTGCTTCTCTGTTCCAGCCGTTAAACTTTGAGAACAAGCCAAGTTACACCCTGAAGGTGGAGGGAGCCAACACCCACCTGGACCCGACCTTCCGGCACCGCGGCCCGTTCAAGGACGTCACCATCGTTCACGTGAGCGTGGAGGACGTGGACGAGCCGCCGCTGTTCGGCTCGCCGGCGTACTACATCGAGCTTCTGGAAGACGCCGAGATCGGGACGGTGGTGAAGACGGTGTCGGCGCGAGATCCCGACGCTGCCAACAACACAGTGAGGTGAGCAGGAGAAGGAAAAACACATTCACACTACACAGTTTGTTATTTTCTCCTTTTACAAATTCACAGTTTTTTATTGTGATTATTTCAGCCAGTAGTTTATTTCAGGCTGATTTACGTCAGTTTAAAAAAAAGTACAAAAGTTTTTTGGATTCATTCAGTTTTTCTTCAGATGATGTTCACAACAAATCAACATAAAAATAAGAAGAAAAAGTTGTTTTTCCAAAAAGAAAATCTTTAATTCTCTTATTTTTGCAAATACAAATAAAGAAAACACTCAAGGTGCATTCAAATGCAAACGTCAGGGGAAAAAAACAAGACAAAGCAGTTTCAAACTTATTGCAACTTATTTCTATTTAAAAACAGAAAAATATTAAAATGATCAAGTATTTTTTTAAGGTCAGAATTAAATATCTATATTTTAAGCAAATTAACCAGACTTCAAGTCTTCCCAGGGCTTAAATTATATGTAATGTTGCCTTGCACCACCAGAGGGCAGCATAATAACACACATTAAAGCTGATCACTGCTGAAGCCTCAGAAAGAAAAAGATACTGATCAATATGTGCTTCTACCTGATGAAATAACCAGTTTGAACCCTAACCAGTACACAGCATGACTTCTTGTGTTTTATATAAACAGATGTTGGTGTTCAGTTTCAACCGTTCATAAACTGATTAGGCAGAAATCTCTTACTTAGTTTAGTGATATGAAGGAATATTAGCTCCACTATAAAACTTCAGTTTCAAGATTAACAGAATTAAATTATTTATCATACATTTTTTCTTAAATCTGTCATTTTATGTCACTTACCCATTAACTGCCTGTCGTTTTAATGTATAGAGACGAAGAGGTAGCAATTTTTAACTATTGTTCATATACTAACATTTTTTATTCAAATGTAATTCACGGGCTTGTATTTTGTGCTATGTTGATTTAATATCTTTAAAAAAAAAACATTTTTATAATTTTCCAATGCTCTTAATGGAAAAAAATATCTAAAAATCTACTAATGAATGTTAAATTAGAGCCACATTAAAAAGTATGATTGTGTTTTGATCTGTGTGGATTATTTTAGTTTAAAACAATGCACTGATTATTTAATACATGCTTCGTATATTTTTGCTCTAAACTTTAGAAAATAAATATTAACAGTAATCTCCATCACTGATTGACAGGTCCATGATTTTTTTAAACAATGTTTTTGCAGCATTACACTAGTTTTATCATTTTTGAAGGTTTCAGACCAAATTAAAAAGTTTTCTTCTTTCATCATGGCTTCTTCATGTCAGTTTGCTGAAAAAAGGAAAAACTTTGACGTGATGGAACCTGTTAGATCAACAGATTTGAAACTTAGCCAACAAAACCTCAATCACAATCAAGCAGTTTGGTCAAGGTAGTCAACCTCTTTTTATCAGTTTCAGTTTATTTATTATTTATTTTAAATTAAACAGAATATAAAACACCCAACTGTGCTAAGTTCCAATACTTAACAGTGGTGCTGCGTGCTGGGACTGCGCTGACTGAACAAATCAAAGTTGCTTTTACATGTTTGACCAACCTTGTGAAGCTATTGGTGTATTTAAATGTGCTGTACCCCTGCAGAGTCATCAAACAAATTTGATTACAGACATAAATGTAGTGTGACTCAGTACAATTATGTCATTTTAAGTCAATTCAGCTGTTTTTCAGTATTGGATCGGTATCGAACGATACTAAACCTCAGATATCTGTATCGGTATCGGACGGGAAAAAGTGGATCTGTAGTATATACTTAAAAATCCTCAACAGGAAAGAGTTAGTGAAATTTTCCTTTGTAGAAATGATCTCACTTTGAGAATCTCTCATATTCAGTTGTCAGCATCCTGCTCCTTCCTCTGGGTATCTTGCTTTAGCTCGGCTCACTCAGAGGAGCTGTTGTTGGAAATCGGCCCACAGTGACAGAAGATGAGCCAAAGCAGCTCTCTGCAGGTTTGTGTTTTCCTGCCGCCTGTTTGGCACGAGGAGCAGATACTCTGATTAAGCCTCCGATCAGGAACGCCGTCTCCTCGCTGCGCCTGCAGGAGCTGCCAGACGCCTTATCTCCCCGCCGCACACACGCATGCACACGCAGCATCGGATACGAGCGCGCGGCGGCCCTCAGATAGGATTACAGCTCCACCAAAAAACACGCAGAAGTGCACTTTATGTTGATATCACTGCAAAAAACAAATCTTATCTAGTATTTTTCATCTAGTTTCTAGTAAAAATACCCCAGCACACTTGACATAGAACAAAACTCATAGATAACCTTTCAAAAAGATATAGGAACTTGTTTTAAGTCAATATTTCCTTAAGATCGATGAAAAATGACTAGTACCCAAAAACTGTATGTATTTTACTCAAGTAAAAAGTACATCAGAGTAAAAATACTCCTAACATTACATTTTTTCACAAAAGTAAATGTGAGTAAATGTAACTAGTTACGACCCAAAACAGGACAATATTAAGTGACTTTTTCTGCCAATGGAACAAGTACTTTTTCATCAATCTTGATGAGTTATCGACTTAAAACAAGCACTAGACCAAAAATTCTTGATAAGACGGTTAGTTTTGTTTGAAGTGTGATTTTTTGGTTTGCAGGTACTCCATCGACAGGAGCAGCGACCCCGAAAAATTCTTCTACATTGAAATCACTTCCGGGATGCTGATGACGGTGCGTTCGCTGGACAGAGAGGAGGTGGGATGGCACAACATCACAGTCCTGGCCATGGAGATGAGTGAGTAGAAAATAACCCAGATTAACTCCACCAACATCAGAATGTGACCCAATTTGTAGCAGAAACACTTCCTATAGATCTAGAACAGTCTTTATCAAACTGTGGCCCCCTAGTGGTCTGCAAAGTACTGCATATAAATCACAGTTTATTTGTGTCCTAAAATGTTACTAATGCACACAACATGACTTCTTTTTTGATTTTCATGTGTTTGACATTATTGGAAAGCTTAGAATCTACACGTTCATGTTCATGGTTTTGTCATGCCAGTCACATTCACAAAAAACCACCACACTCCTCATTAAGATGAACAAAGAAGACAACAATAGGAGGTAGGGCAGTGCGGGGCAGATTCAAGTTAGGTGAGTGTCTGTTAAATGGGTTAAGTGGTCTTGAAAAAGTTTAAGACTGATCTAGAATAACTCCTGTTGCGCATCAGCAGACGCACCAAGTCACCTTCATCCTTCATCCATTGGCTTTGTTTGTCTGGAAGAGTCTTTGTTTGCTCGACGCACCTTAAAGGAGGCGGTAATGGAATCACCGGCTGATTAAATAAGTTCTCGTGTGACGGCTAATTGAAAATGAGACGTTGAGGGCAGCAGCAGGAAGACCTGGTGAGGCAGAGCGTGGCAGGAAGGAGGAAACAATGAAGAGGCAGAACGAGAATCAACAGGGAGAACAGAGGAAAGCCGATTGATTTAGAGGACAGACAAAATAAAGTTACACACTTCCTCCAGTTTTACTCTCGAGGATTCTGTCGCTTTTTGCTCACAATGCAATGTTGGAAAACTAGCTACAATGACCAGGATATGATTATTCAATAAGAATACTAAAGCACAAATATATGATGGATGGATGGACGGACGGATGGGTGCTATAAACTTTCATTTATATAACAGATCAAAAACTTTCTGTATGTTAATGTTAGATTTAGTTCTGGGCTTTGACTAGACCATTTTGACTGAGAATTCAGTGTGACTGAGCTTGAGCTAAGTGGGTGAAAATCCATCCCAAAAGCCTTCAAACTGTGATAAAAAGGTGTAAAATGTGAACAATGAAGCTTAAAAAAAGTTTAAAAGTACTGTTTCAAACCAATGTAAGATGCATTTTTAGTAAAAAGAAAAAAAATAATTGTATCAGCAGCAAAATAAAAAAATGACACCCAACTTGAATTTTTTCCTTTGAGAAAGCATCAGTAAATGAAAGAAATGTTGACATTTAAAGTGGGCGGAGCAATCCGACTCTGCAGGTCGGCACTATTAGACCCCGTGGAGCTTTGACCTCCAGAATCAAAGTCACATTGCTGACTGATCGATCGTGTGATGAAACCTGAGAAAGTAGTTACCGCCCTCTAATTGTATTTTTATAGCCCATTACACAGTTGGTTAAGGTATGCAAATTGCTGACTGTAATGAAGACTAATAGAATTGTGATGGGAGCGTGAGAAGCGGTAATGTGCTCCGGGTTGGCAGTAAATGAGGGGAAGATTAACCAAGTCCCACCGGGAGCTCAACGCCTCACAGCATCTTTGTGTCTTCTGCAGATAACCCCACGCAGATCGCCAGCGTGTCTGTGGCTGTGAGAGTGCTGGACGTCAACGACAACCCACCGTCGCTGTCGCATTACTTGGAGACGTTTGTGTGTGAAAATGCCAAAGCAGGACAGGTACAGAGACCAAAGTTACAAATCTAATGGTTTGGTTCATTCACACTTAGACAAGTGAGAGTTTTGTTGAACGGACGGCATCAATGGATGCAGTTTGAAAGGAAGCTTATCTCCACCAGCTGCTCAAAGGGCTTTTGGTGTTAAAGGATGACAGAAAATCTGAAAATATGACTTTGTAATTATGCGTTATTGGAAGATACTATTGATGACACCAGCTGTAGTCTTAAAAAAGACAAACAATAAAATAAAATCAATTTGTTTGCACTTTAGTGGATCGTAAACAAACTATGCAGTTCTGGTTACATTTAAGAGTAGATTAAAAAGAAATATTATCTAAAACGGTCCATAATAAGTAACTAGTAACTAATAGGCAGTAAGCAATAAATCAAATCATAAAACGAGCTCAATAATTTCCATTTGCATGATTTATCATTTTTCTCTTTTCTTCCTCTCTCTCTACCAAAGACTGGATGGTAAAAGTCTTCAGTCTGGTGCTTTTTTGAAGGAAAGTTTTGTTTACAGAGACTTCATAGTTCATTTTGTTTGTCTTTTGTTTATTTTGGAAATTTAAAATGTCTTCCAGTTCTTTTAGAATATGCTGCCGTTGCTATTATATTACTGGAGTATGTTCTGTTATTCCATAATCACCAGTGAAATCCGGTGAAACTGCGGTTCAGAGCAGTAACCACACCTGTCGCTGTGTTCCAGCTGATCCAGACCGTGACGGCGGTGGATCCAGACGAACCTCTGGGGGGCCAACGCTTCTACTACAGCTTGGCTCCGGAGGCCGCCAACAACCCCAACTTCACGCTGCGAGACAACCAAGGTAGATGATCTGAAACACTGAGCGTGGCGGCGTTAGCTGCATGGAGCCGATCCCAACTGTCCCTGTCAGTACAGGACAAACGAAGCTCCACATGGAGCAGCAGCTCAGTCAGCTCTGCCTGAACTCCCTACTGTCTGCTGCACTAACTGCAAAAAACTAAATCTTATCAGGTAGTTTTGGTCCAGTTTCTAGTGCAAATATCTTAGTTCACTTGAAATAAGACAAAAACTAATTTAAAAGTAACTTTTCAGCATGATGGAAGTTTGTTTTGAGTAAATAATTTCTACATTTTCATGAAAAAGAACTAATTAACTGGAAAATATCTTAGTATGCTATAAATAAGACAAAACTAACTTATAACTAACTTTTCATCAGGTACAGGAACTTGTTTTAAATAAATAATTCTTTAATATTGCTAAAAAAAAAAAAAAAAGTTAGTTCCACTGGCAGATTATTTCACTTATAACGAAATTTTTTCCATGTCCCTACAAGAAATAAATTGCATGATAAATAAAAATGAACCTGATCATTCTCATCATAATGATTAATATTTTTAGAACAGCAATTTTATCTACAGATATAATCAATTTCATTATTTCATTGATTATGTGTTTATTTCTGTTTTTAATTATTGTAACTGGTCGTCTTGTTTGTTTTTCTTTTTTTTAATAGTCCCCGTGTTTAAGCGTTATTAGTTCAGGTTTATTGATCTTTGAAGGGCAAACTCGCATTATTGTGCTATTACTACCATTTTATTACTTAAAAATAGTCTCAAAACATTATTGTTGTAATTTCTTTGCCAATTTATCGTCCAGCAAAATTTGTTATCGTTTCAACATACTCCACATCTTGCTAAAAAGTTACTTGTAAGTTTGTTTTGTCTTATTTCAAGTGCACTAGAAGCTACACAAAATACTTTGTAAAGATTATGTGTTTTTGTATTAAACTTACCCAAAATCAGTGTGAAATTAGTTTCATAGATTCAATTTATACCATAATAAAGTCCCAAAAACTAATATATGATTTAATCTCCTCCTTAATCAGCTGCAGTATGAGCATCTTATCAGTGTCGGCAGTCCTAATAGCTCTGGATGCAGTAGGTGCATCTACTGGATGGAAGTCAGGCGCTTAAACCTCCAGAGCTGTAACGTCCCTGAACAACCATCTGGGACTAATTACTATGAAACTGCAGATACTTCATCCCCACAGACTCTAGGGCTGCAACTAACGATTATTTTAGTAATCAATTAATCAGATGAAAAACTGCCACATTCTGCAGATTTTTCATTTCCCATCTAAGCCTATTTTTAAACAATATTAGAGATAAATTAAAAGTGGCACATAAATAAACAACTCTATTTTTTAAATAAGAAAACACACTTTAGGCAGTAAAATGTTTGCTAAAGCTTAAAAAAATACTTGAGAAAAGTTCAGCCTTTGCTTGAATTAACAATACAGTGTAGAGCTGATTTGTTATTTTATATCTATTAACTGATTAATTACTGATAAACCATAATAAATGAAACATTGACCAACAGTCTGATGTGTAACTTGATCAAATGTAATGTTTACTGGCTTTGTATTTTTTATCAATCAATTAAGTTTATTTGAATAACACATTTGAGCAACAAGGCGGTTCAAGGTTCTGAAAACAGAAAATTACAAAGTGATAAAGAAAACAGTCAACAATTGAACAAACGTTACATTTTGATAAGTGCCATCACTCAAATTCATGCACATCAAATATGTTGGTCAATAATTCATTTATTATGGTTTCTATGACGTAAAGTTCTTTAAACTGCTTTGTTGCTGAAATGTGCTATACAAATAAAGTTAATTGAAAGCAAAAGTTGCTTAATAGATTTTTTATTTTTTTTACATAATTTGAACCTGGTGAAGCTCAATCTGAATCTGCCAGAACTGTTTCAGATATCTTTTATCTGAAACATATTTTCAGATAAAAAGGTTTATTTTATCTTAAATGCACACTGTATGTATTAATTGCAGTTTTGGTTCAATGGTTGCTTTAATTGTTTTGTTCTTCCAGCACATGGGCTTTTTTTTGAGTCTTGTCAACGATGATTTCAATAATTGATTAATCACGATTAGTCGTTTCATCCCAAACAGATTCACAGTGACTCTTGAGTTTCTTATGCTACATTACTGTGCAGAAATTATTATCCAGCTCTAAAAACCTCAGAAGGTCTCCAGTAAGAAGAGATCTATTGATAACGATGGCTTTATAAATGTCGACTGAATGCTGGACTAAGACTTTCACCTTCCCTACAGTCAGGGCTGAACCTTATCTCTGCTGTCTGCAGACAACACGGCGTGGATCCTGACGCGCCGCGGCGGCTGGTCCCAGCAGGATCAGACCGTCTTCTACCTGCCCATCTTCGTGTCCGATGGCGAGCAGCCGATGCAGACCAGCACCAGCACTCTGACCATCCGAGTGTGCAGCTGCGACCAGGAGGGAAACGTCATGTCGTGCAACGCCGAGGCCTACAGCCTGCCTGCCAGCCTCAGCAAAGGAGCGCTCATTGCTATTCTGGCCTGCATCTTCGTCCTGCTGGGTGAGTGAGCAGCCGGCGCTGCTACTTGTGCAGAACAAGTTGTTTCTTGTGGTTTTCTTTGAACAAAGCCACCAGTGGCTCCTTGAACCTTCTTCAATGGCTCTTAATAATTTAGCGAAATATTAAAAGGAACCAGTTTCACATTTATATACAGATATTAACGTTGAGCAATTAATTGATTTCAACGATTATTCAAATTTTTGAAGATTTAATTTGAAAAAATCCAGATTTTCCAAAAATTAAATCTTTAAACACCAAAAATTTGATTAATTTGAATATTTCCCATCGTACTACAGTAGATTTTTGTTTTCTAAGGGATGATAGCTGTAATTCCAGTATAATGTGGTTGTACAAGTGTAAAAAAATAAAAGAAAATTCATACAAGTACAAAAATGTAAAAATTGTACATAAATATTCTAGTAAGGTTTTGTACTGACCTCCACATTTTTTTTTCTTTTCACCAGTGATGATTCTCCTCATGCTTTCCCTGCGGACACATCGTAAAAAGCCCTACCTCTGCGACGAGGAGGAGAATGTGCACGAGAACATCGTACGCTACGACGACGAAGGCGGCGGTGAGGAGGACACCGAGGCCTTCGACATCGCCGCCATGTGGAACCCCAGGGAAGTGCACCACCCTCTAGGCAAGATACGGCAGGACATGATGCCGGAGATCGAGAGCCTGTCACGCTACGTCCCTCAGCCGTGCGTGATCGGCGTGGGCAGTGGCGAGGACAGCAACGTCCACGGCTATGTGCTGGCGAAGCTCCTGGAGGCTGACCTGGACCCGTGCGCGCCGCCGTACGACTCCCTGCAGACGTACGCGTACGAAGGCGAAGGCTCGGTGGCCGAGTCGCTCAGCTCGCTGCAGTCGGGAACGTCGAACGGCGACCATGAGTACGACTACCTGAACGACTGGGGGCCACGCTTTAAAAAGCTGGCAGAGATGTATGGAGTGCTGGAGACAAACACGCCTCCCATGTGGTAGAAGAAGAAAGGCAAAACACAAATGAGAAGACAACGCTGGGACGCCCGTATTCTACATCCGAAGGCTGGATTATCAGCAGCCTTGAAGGCCTTCACGCCTGCAGAGGCAGTCTGAGCCGGGTTTAAATCTTCTTCAAAGATGGGCTGGATTTTTGGGCCTCATGGGGCCCGGTAGAGGAACAGCTTCAAAGCACATGTTAACCCCCTCCTCGGGTCTGAAACACCCAGAGACAGAGCCTCTTTGGTTCAAAGTGTTTGAGCTGGAGATGAAAACTCCCTGCACCACAGAGATGTTTTCTTCTGAGAGAAAGTCAGTGTTTTGATGTGTTTTTGGTCCTAATTTACTCCTTTGTTTAAACTTTTGTATTTATGTTTTAATTTATTTGGGTTCTTCAACTAGCACTGTGCGTAAACTTTTAAAAACATCACATATGTTGTGACAGTAGACACCTTCGGGGTTTGCTAGAAAGGAGATTTCAATGCTTCTAAAAGTCACACCCATTGGTATAAATTACTGGATTGGACATTACGTCACTATCATGTGTCAGTGAAATTTGAAGTCCTGAAAAATTATGCCGTGCCATCATCCCCCTACTACTACTTCATGTTGTCTTCTTTGTCGTCTCTGCCAGTAGTAACATCCGGTTGTTGATTATGCGATTCCTGTGATGCAAAAAAAAAAAGTGTTTCCATTGCAGTTTTGTGAAATAAACTAATTTCAATACAGTCTAAAAAATTAACTTGATGCTAGCGCCAAAACCTTTTAATAATAAAAAGTTTATTTTTCTGAAATTTCCATGTTTCCATTAAGCAAATTTGTCTTTGTAATTTGAACAGTTATGTGAAACGCATCTGGTACGGGTTGTAGACATGACACAAGGCACAGAAACGGCATCACTACCTACAGAGGCTAATAGGTGATGTCCAGTCCAGTGATGTATATCAATGGTACGCTGTATTCTAATAGGGGTCTTCGATGTGTTTATTGTGATGTCTGTCATTTTTCACCCCTTTGTATTACGATTCCCAAACAGTTTTCTTGAAAGCATAAAGAAGTTGCCATGAGGCAGGGTGGAGGTTTATCTCGACAGAAATCTGAACGAGCACACGACCAAGTCGCCTTTCGTTTCCGATCCCACCGCCGTGCCAAACGGAGTCCGACAGCGGAGAGGCTCCAACCGTCACGTTGCTTTTCTCCAACCATTTGGGCTGCAGGGACACTGGTCAACCTGCAATAAGTGCCAAATGTATAAAGAACAAAAAGACTTTTAAGAAAAAAAAAAGAATCCAAGAGAGACGGAAACACCAAAATATGAAATAAGGATTTTAGAAACTGAGAAAGATGTAAAAAGTGCTTTTTCATTATTGAATTGGGCAGATTTACTTGAATTCAATACGGTGAGTCATACTGCACTAAGTGGTATGTGAATGTAGATATTTTTTGTATTCTTGTTAATAAAAGCTTTTTTAAAAAATGTTTGCTGTTGAACGATAATTAAGCCAAAGTTTACAGTGAGCACCTCCATAAAAACACAATACCAAGAGAAATGACATCAGCAGTGGTGTTATGGGGCAATTGAACGATTTGAAGTTCAAAATTTACCCAGTCCAAAAATACTTTAATTATACAATCAAAGAGGTATGAATTATTATTCCCTGAAAAGCTCTTGACTTATGGTTAGCACTCTTTGGCCTTGCTGTGAATGAGCGGTCTGCACAAAATGGAGTGGCATCAGATTTTAGCGGTTGTAGGATTTCTCTTTTGTTGTTGGTAAAAGACCATGAGATATTTCTCCCCTTAGTGCTAGACTCTTACATATGTTTTGGTTACATCTACCCAGAATTCCCAGCGTTGTAGTCCACTTCCTGCTTTAGGAATGATCTCCAGTCTGCTTGGTGTTCACATAGGCATCCAAACTGCACTTCAGCCGAATCTAAACCTATGTTCGTAGGCAGATCAGAGATTGCTTTTTTGGTTGATTATGCATTCAGACCTCCCCAAACAAACCAGACTTTACCAAATGCACTGGAGTTGGATCAAAGCGGACCAAACAGGGCCTGTGTGAATGCCTATTAGGGTTAAGAGGTAAACAAAAACTTGGTTGGTTTTGTACTAGTCAAGAGATGCTGAGAACATTCAGAGTAGGTCTGATCTTTAAACGTCTGACATGAAAACAGTGTTACCGTTTAGGAGATTTTAAAATGCTTCATTTTGTAGAAAATTTCTGCTGAATTTTAATGTAATTTGCTTGTTTTTGCTACTGTACCCCAATGACAATATGTGGAAAAGAAAGTTGAAATGTTTTATATTCTTTGAATGTCATTTTGTAGTTTCCGAAACTGTCAAAGACGAGGAGGAGGATCTGCACTCACTTCTACTGCATTCTCATCTCTTCAGCATACATCTCTTGTCATTTTTCAGCACATACAGCTCACATCCCAGAGCCTCTTTCCTCCTCACTGCCCTTCTCTGCGCCATCCAGCAGTATAAATTAATCCCTTACATCCAGACGCAACACCACGGCATCCTCTCCTTCACATTTGCCCCGCTGTCGACTTCTTCCACGGCCATTTCCAGGAAAGAGCTTTGCCACCGAAAGGCTCTGTGGGGCTAATTTTGTCTTAAGCTCCACTGCTCTCCCTAACAGACAATGGAGCTCAAACGCTTCAAGATAATAAGAAGCCTTGCAGCTCTAATCCTACTGAGGGTAAACCGCGTCAAACCCACTGAATCATCCCCTAATGCTGAATAGAAAAACACTTCGCTCTGCTGGAAATTAGGGGGCGGAAAGAAAACCCCCAGGCTCTGGAGAGAAGAGCAGGTCAAGCCAATCTGACACATGAAGAGTGAAACGTATATTTGTAGACATTTTTCCTCCAAATATTCTCTTCCTCCTAGCAAACACAGTATATTAGTTCACACATCTCACAGAAACTGTCAACCCTGCCGGTGGAGGGTTGATGATTTGAGCTGATTATGTATTCATAGGACAATGGCACCTTGTGGCGTTTTCTCACCAGTAGATTTGGTTCGATTGGGGACCAAACTTACAGTTTGTTACATTTTCAGCTGCTGCGGTTCTCTTTCATGCCACACTGAGTCAAACCAACCAAACTAATTGAAAAAGCTGTTCCTCTCCTTGCCTCTGTGGGGCGCTGCACCAAGAACCACTCAAGAAAACAACACAAAAAGCTCTGAAGATGACACTGAGCGCAACTTCCTTCTTCACGAAATGTAAACAAAACTGGACTGGCGTCAGATTTTAGTGGTTGGAGGATTTCACTTTTGTCTTCCCCCGCTAGCGCTAAACTAGCATGTTTGTTTTGGTTGTATTCTTCCAAAATGCCAGACTTTATTAGTGACTTCATATAGGCATTAATATTCTGTACATAGGATTAGTTGATTAATTAAATATACATGTAATTTTTTTTCTTGGTTTGTTTGATTTTTGTTTCTTTGGTTTTTGTTTTTTTCCCATAAATAATGCTAGTGGAAGCTTAAAATATAGTCAGACACATTTTTATTTCTTATTTCAGTTGTCAATCCTCACTAAAAAATTTAAACATTAACTAACCCTGACATATATATACA